TGCCTCGTTTCCAGAAGTTCAGCCAGAGTCATAATGGCAGAAGCTCGATCCTCCGGGTTCAGGGACTGGAGGAGCCGGCCCCCTCGGCGAGCGTTCTTGGCCAGGACCTCGACCTCCAGGCCAACGCTGTTGCTGGTTGTGAAGAAAGTCCCGATCTTACGGCCGTGGACGATCCCCTTGATGGCGCCTTGGGCCAGGCCATTGCAGATGACCACGGAGGTGCCTCGCTCGAGGGCCCAGCTGGCGGCTTTCACCTTGGAGTCCATGCCGCCAGTGCCAACGTTCGACTTGGCGCCGAATTCCAGGCTGGAAATCATATTTGGCGAGAAGTTATCGATGAGACGAGCTCCCTCCTCGCCGGGGGGCTTGTTGAAGATGCCGTCGACGTCCGTCATGAGGATCAGGAGGTCCGTCTCCACCTCGGAGGCGAGGCGCGCGGCAAGGGAGTCGTTGTCGCGGATGTCGAGTTTGCGGCTCACCTCCTCGTCGACGTCGGGCGGAGGCGTGACAGCGTCGTTGGTGTTGATGATGGGCAGGATGTTGAGGGCGATGAGCTCGTTGATGGTGGAGATGAGGTTCTGGCGAGTCTCGTTGTTGTAGAAATCTGGCTTCGTGATGAGGATCTGCGCGACCTTCACGCCGTACTGGGCGAACATTGCTTCATAGAGGGACATGAGGCCCGACTGACCCACGGCGGCAGACGCTCGCGGCGCCAGCATGCTCTTCACCTCCTCCTTCGAGAAAAAAATATCATTAGCCAATCTTATTCTCCTGAACTGATATACATAATTCAGGACAATTAGATATTTTTTTAATTAAAAACAGGTGGGCGTCCGACGCCAACTAAAAGCGTCTTTCTTCTCTTACCCCGCGAAGGTTGTCCTTGCCGGAGAGCGTCTCCCTCATGCTCAGGGACATGAGGAGCTCCTGCGCCATCTTCTGCTTTCCGAAGGCGACGGCGCCGGAGGTGACCATCATCATCTCGCGGCCTTCGTTCTGCAGTTCGGCCACCTGGGGAAAGCGAGGCAACACGTCAGTGGCTCGGTCTCCACGGGATTTGGTCTAACTTCCTTCATGGACCGATTCGAAGGGTAATTGCCATTAACATTATCATAGGTATATGTGTGTGTGTGTGTGCGTATATGGGTGTGCGTGTGAATGCGTATGCGCACACAGAAGAGACACAGGTACGCCGGTACTGACCTGCTCAACGATGGACGCCAGCCGCCCGAGCGCGAGGCCGTAGCCATCCCGTCGGGTAATGACCGCCGAGCCGAGCTTGACGACGATGCGGCGGGAGTGCTGCAGTTGCTGGCGGTGCTGGAAGGCCGCCCGCGAGCCTTCGATGCGCGAGATGGAGCGAGAGGCGTCCAGGTGTAGGCTGGACTGGGAGGAGAAAGACAGGTTTAATTTCATGGTCTTTCTTCTTATTAAAAAACACGTTCCGATTAGCTTTGTGAATGAGATGCAACGACCGCTGATGACAGCACTGAATATCTGATAAAGAACATGCAACCTTTTTTCACCGAATAAAAAAAAAAAAAAAAAAATAGATGTAATTGATGAGCAAGGGTATTTAGGTGTTATTCACACTAAGACGTAACATAAATAGAATTGCTAATGCAAGAAAAAAAAACACTTTCAACGCATGCAACCGAGGCTGTTCCGCCGCCTTACCCAGTGGCTCTTGGTGCTGTAGGCACGGCGCTGGTAGGAGGCAATGGACCTCCCGAAGGCGACGTTGGCGGAGGACAAGGAGGATCGGTAAGCGCCAAGGAAGGAGACGCGCAGGGAGGCGCCCTTGTTGCCCTTGCTGGAGTACCACGGCTCCCCGTAAGAGTCGGGGAGATGCGGGAAGGCCTTGCTTGAGGGCGCGACGGAGAGGCGGGTGTTCCGAGGAACAATTTCGAAGGAGGAGGAAGCTGTCTTGCTGACGGGGAGACGGACCACGGGTCCGAGCACCTTGCGGAAGGGCACCATTATGGCACAAGTTTCTGTATTTTCAACGTTCCTTGCCGAAACAAATGATCAAAGTTGCAATATGCACTGAACAATAAATCTAATCACACCTATAAGATGCAGTAATAGTCAGAGCTGCTGTCTCTGGAATGGTGACGGGCGGTAGCCGCGGCGCCCTTATATGTGTGGCCCGAGAGGGTCGGTGATGGCATGGGACGCGGGCCGGGGCAGGGGGCGGGGGCAGCGCTGATTGCCACACCTCGCCGTCTTCACTCACCTGCGCCTCGCTCGACTAGTGATTCGCCCGCCGTGGCAGAGAAAGCTGGGGCTCCGTCTTAACCTATGTTTTCCTTCTTTTATCTGTGAATATCTCTCTCGGTGGTTCGTTTCAATCGGGAGTCGCCTGGATGGGGTCTCCAGGGTCCTAAGGGGCAAGCAATGACAGTTGCGTCGGAGGCGAACGCAGTACCCATAGGAGGAACGAGATGGATCACAAACCGAACGTCAAGTACGAGCGTGTGGCGAGAAGTAACGCCGACCG